AAAAAAAAAAAAAAAAAAAAGAAAAAAAAAATCACCTGAGTTTTCATTTTCTAGCAAGATATTTACATAAAGATTTACTATTCAGACAGAGTTGGGGGCTGGGGAGAAGGTGGTGGAGGGCACTCGTTTGCACTGTTTATTAAGCATATATTAAATGGGCTTCATTGCATTTAAATACCAGCCTGCTCTAAAGGACAGAGTTTCTTGCTTCTTGCTTGCAGCTGACAGCAAGCACCTTTTGCCCTGCTAAAGTGCTTCTTGAATTCATGAGAATTACTGTAATAGGCAAACATTTATCCAGTTGGTTTGTGGTGCCTTGTATGCCACATTTTTTTTTAAGACTGAAACCGTTTTTCTGCATGGATTAAAAATAGTCTCGGGTTTTTTCAATGTAATGCTTTATTGGCTTGCTTGCACAATTTAGAAATAGGCCAGATTACCAGCCAGTGTCCACCACCACAGCTCCATGGTTGGCCCTATGCTTTTAGGTGTCACTGACACTGGAGTTAGTTCTTGGTATCTCGGCCACTGACTCACTGATATGAAAGAGCAAATTTTTATTCATTAAAATGTAGAAAATCTTACCCTTGACACCATATATGTAAAACCAATGTCGCTTTTACATATTCCTTTTTAAGTGTAATTACGTGCGCTAAGGTTCCTATTTTACTTATAAATTAAAAACAGATTTATAAAAACATTTTCAAGGAAATAGACTGTAAAACTAACACAATTGCTTATGTGAAGATTGTGGAACAGATTAATCCACATTAATAAGGTCTGAGGCACACAGCAAACATTTCCAATTCTTGGGAACCCATTTGCTGTGTAAGAAGAAAAAAAACCACATGCCAAAAATGACGGCCCCTTGACCCCTAGTTGTGTCCAGGATCAAAATGGGCCAGGGAAAGCAGTGACAGAGATACCAAAAAGGCTTCTGGAAAACAAAAGCCTGCTCCCCCCCATAGCATTCGAGGCTCTGATCTCAACGTCAGATGGGCAAGGGTGAATCCCAGTACTTGCATCAATCTGACTGAAGGACCAGAGCCAAGTTTATCAAAATTATTTCACACCATGAACCAGTCAGTTCTACAGCTGTCAGCTTATAAACCCAGTTTTCTTATACCTCTTCTACTAATAAAATTAGGCTGCAGGACGAGTGCCTGGAAAATACAGCAAGCTAAATTTGAGGTAATGTGAACAGTAAGGCTAATTTCATGCTTCACTATCATCAAACACAGAGCACTCACTTCAAACAAAAACATGAAGTTGTTTCTGAAAATCATGGAATATTTCAGTGAACTGATTTGAATTTTCTTACACCCCAATTTCAACGCACAGATATTTTCAGTGATCACACAATCCAGATGGCCCTCCCTTGTTTAAAATCTCAGCTCTTTCTTAGTCTTTTGTTCTTGGCACGCTGTTCAAACACAGCAGCAGTAAATCTCTCCCTCTCCTTACATTTCACTGCATTAAGAACCCTGCTGTCCAGGGGCTTCCTGCTGGGATCACTAGTGGAGGACCGGATTCCAGTGCCGCAGCTATTGGCAAGCGTGTTCCTGCAAGAAAGGGAGAGAAACACAGATCCTTATGCCCTGGATTTCAGGTGAGAGCGAGTGCTTATAAAGATGCAGAGAAAAAGTGTCTTATTGGGAACATCTTGTTACAGAGGGTAACCACAGTGTATATTTTAAGCTGAAGAATCAGCAAAGCTGGTATTTTAGCTTTGACCATCATAGATAAGGAAAAGTAGGAAAAAAAACAGAGGGGAATGATATTAGAATACAGATTCAAATGAATATTCTGTAAAGCACGTTTACAAGGCAGTGATTGCTTTGAATTCCTGGACAGCCAAAGCAAACCCCCAAAAGCACGTACCGATCAAAGAAAGTGGCTAGGAGACGTCTCAGCAGAACCTTATGTTTGACACCTGCACACAGATGACAGTTCATCAGCTGCCCTCGGGTGATATAAACACCTGACCCTGAAAAAGTTCAAACATACCAAGTTTATAATTAACAACCCTCGTTTCCCCTGCTGTTGTACATTCCCGATGGACTGCACACCACTATATTCCTATTAGGATCACAAAGGATCTAGGGCAGAGGCTGTCCCAAACGATGTACCTGTTTATCACCCAGTACCAACAGGGCCTGGGTCTCAGCTGCATCCTCAAGGAGCTACTATAATGCATATATCTAATCATTTCCAAAGAAGCTTTTGCAATTAGGTTCTTGTGGGGTTTAGGTACCTCACTCCCTGGAGGTCCTGTGAAAAATGCTGGCCAATGAGAAAAATCTCCTGATCTGATCCAAACAGAAAGATGATCTCCTGCAATCACATGAAAGGACCTAGCTTCTCAAAAAGTGCATGGTGCTATGCTTTGTCTCCTTAAAGAAATATGATTTCTTTAAGGAGAATCACACAGTAGATAATTGCCAGCCTTCTGAGAAAACAACTACCCATTTGGCCTCTCCCCCCCCCTTTTTTTTTTTTTTTTTTTTTAGGGGTGTTTTTTGCGGTTTTTCCCTTTTAAAAAAAAACCTCCCCTTTTGGCCCCCCCCCCCCCCCTTTTTTTTTTTTTTTTTTTTAAAAGGGAAGAACTGCAGAATACACACCTAGAATAAAAACAGATGCAGACACGAAACCCGTGCGTTTCCCGCAAACCCACGATAACTTTTGCTGAGCCGGGCATTTAATTTCTAGCACAACACAATTTTTGCATATCGCATCTACTGGTTTCAAATATGTTCTCACGGACAGAAAGGAACCCTGCCAATGCAGCTTTGCCTTACACGTCCAGAAGTTTGGAAACAAATCCTCCGCAGATCTCTTATCCTTTCATTATCAAGCACTTTATGTAGCACCTAGCTAGCAACAACAAACCTACTGTGTGCCTCACAACTGGCCTGCGTGAACAAAGATGTGGAGGTGTGTTTTTTTTTCTAAGCACACTGTTACACCATATAAGAAGGTTTTTTTTTTTTCAATTAAGATTAAATAGGGGATCATATCTAGAGCGGCAAAGGACTAAGTACTTCCAGACACAGAGACATACCAGAAAAACAGAAATACTTCTTACATTTCCAGGAAAGGCTAACAAGGATTATCTTTAATCTTACAGATACATATAAGAACAGAACAATATTAAAAAATTAGTTGGCTAGGTTATGAGAAAACCTGGAATAACTCTATTGAGCCCCAGGGAATCACTGTTATAGGGGATGCAACAGATCAAAACCCGTGTCTTTCTAGCTTCACTGGTGTGATGACCACTTGAATTTTCACCAGCAGATGACGACCTCTTTCTACTTGCATAGATTTTTGTTAATGCAAGACTATGGATTAGACTGTGAAGGGGGAAAAAAAAGAGCATTTGTGCCTTAGGATTTGTGAACAGTCCTTACCATTATGCTCTGTATGCTATACCTATCCATCAATTTTACTATGATCATTTCAAGATTTGTTTAAGGATCTCAGCAGAATATGCCCAAGTTTTCAGAATCAGTTACAATATGTAAAATCTGAGACCAAAGAAAATACTTAGTTTATGGAGGTTACTAAGCTTTCACTGAAGGATTTTTCCCATCTACTGTAGGCAGAAGAACCCCATCAATTTTCACTAAGTTTGCAACAGTAATTAGCTGCTGAGCCTTTATTCAGTAACAGTATTTTAGAGATAAGCCATCAGAGAGCAAGCCAGATGCTACCAAGGGTAGCTTCACTTTAATAAATAAAAAATAACCAAGGCAGCCGGTATCAGTTAGAGATATTAATCTACTTTTTCCCAGATTGAAAAATGTAAATCAAGCAAAGATGCCTGGAGCCAATTTGCAGCTCTCACTGTGAAAATAACCTATACCACTTGATGTTTTGAAGAAGTCTCACATAAAATGTAAATGGATACAAAATGAATATTCTAGCTTCAAAATAAATACTTGTGGTTTTATTTTGTGTTATGGTTATGTGCGTTTTATTTCTGCCTTCCATTGAAGAAAATACATGTCCTCCACCAGACAGAAACCTTTGTAGCTACTTCTTGAAATTAAGATCCCTACTGCAAGCTGAAAATAAAAAAAAAAAAAACCTCTGCCACTCAAAGCATTGTATACAAGAGATAAATGGTCAGAAAGAAAGGACAACTTACTCCCTTCAATATCCTCTCTCACTAGAGGAATTCTAAGCACTTAACAGGTATCTAATTAAGCCTCAACAACCTAAGCAGTAAGTAAGGGATATTATATAGAAATGTTCACCCCATTGTTCCTGGAGTGGAAGACAAAAGTGCACCACAGTATAAAACAATGCAGATAAAGTGAAGAAGGAATACGTACCCAACTGAGACCATGGGAATTTAGGGAAGCACAATGCAACTGTCCAAACTGGAACGTGGTGTGGACATAAGGGTCAAGAGCATCTTCTTGCACAGAGTGCTGGAGGATGGTTAGTGGCCACAAAAGGACAGGACCACAGGTTATTACTTGTCCAGTCCAGCTCTACAACCTCCCTGTAAATCAAACCGAATCGCCACCACCTCCCAGCTTTCCCAATGCCTATCCTAAATCACCATCTGGATGAAGAACAGTGGAAGAAGGCTTAATGCACACAGGCCTGAAATGATTCAGGTAGAAAGATGGAAAAACTTCAAAAAACACCCACTTTCTCTACAACAGGGCTGGGCAATTATTTCAGGCAGAGGACTGCTTACTGAGTTTTGGCAAGCCATCAAGGGCCACATTATAGGCAGCCAGGGGCAGATATATATTAAATTTTCTCAATTTTTAGGGGCCCCACAGGCCAGATGGCATGACCTGGCAGGCTGCATCTGGTCCATGGGCTGCATTTTGCCCACCTTGCTCTACAACATCCATCACTATAGAGGGTATGTGTCCTTGGGATGTTAAGCTGGTCCAGGGCTTTTAAAACCCTAACTACAACTGAGTCAATAATGGACTCTTTGGTTAAGTGGCAAGTGTAAAGAATTTTAAAATACTTTCTCATAATAAGTATGCAATTTTTCAGATTGTATGGCAAATCAGAAAGTTAGAAGAAACCTTATTTTGAGTAAAACAAGGCATTCTGCAACAGTTCAAACATTTTTAAATGGCTAGAAGCAAAATTAAAGGAAAATTTTGAATGAACTGTCAAATGGAAAAAAATCAAAACATTTCTTTACCAGTATTGTCCAGGTGACACTTCATTTGCTGCTGGAATATTTCGAGATTGTTTTCAGAAATCAACACAAATTTAAACTCAGGATTGTCAACCTGCAATTCTGCCCCAAAATTTCACTGAGCTATACCCTTAATTGCTGTTGGTGACAAAAAAATGACCACTTTCATCTGCAGCTAATTATCTGATGCCAGTGGCACCATGGCCATTAATCTACACACCGTCTGTAAAAATCCAGGATTACAACTCACAACACCAAGGAGGGATCTATCAAGACATTCAGGGTGATTTTTCTCCACACTATTGAAGATATTCACGGTTTACATAAAATCCTTAAACAGTTTTATTCACTGATATAAATCTGTCAGCTGCTGCTCTGTGAACCTTATAATCTGATACTTAAAAAAAAGCATTTTTTTAAACTGTGCACCTATATTAGAATACAATTGCGATGCAGCCCATAGCAAACAAGAATACAAGCAGACGAAATTCAATTAACATGCTAAATAAATTCAATCGAATAATTCCTGTTAATGACACATCCTTCCATCAGTGAATGAAAGGAAATTTGAGATTTTTTTTTGACTGATTGGTGATGAGTGTCTTTGTTCATAATAATGCTAAAACAGGAAAAAAATGCAGGTAATATATATAATTACAACTGAAGCTGAAGCGAGATGAAGAGTAATTTCCAAGGATAAGAATGTCAATATTCTCCAGTCATTCTAGTGTAAAGAAAAAGAGTTACCATGCTGTTACCTGCAACAAGTTCGAGTTTTTCTCCCGGATCTCCCTCCGAGTAGAGTTTGGGGTGGCACCGATATCCAATCTGACTGATCAGACTGGCTGGGAGAGCAACTAAGTCACGTCGAATGAGCACGCAGGAACGATTCTCTAGTGGAATCTGCTCTGGCTTTTCTTGAGCTACTTGAAAAAAAGAAAAAGAGAAGCATAAAAGAAAAGAAAAAGAGAAGCATTAAACAAATCAAGTACGGGGGATGCAAAATTGAACACTGCTGCGTTTTGATGATTCCCAATCTTTTTTTCCACAGCATTACTTCTGAAAGCAGCTAATGACTCCAGAGACAATCATTTTCCAGGTAAGGGCACAGGACACTGCTAGCCTGGATTCAGGATCACTATCAGTGGTTTTCAAAATGTAGCTGAAAAGTTCCTCACATCCTGATGTCTACAAAACAGCCTTTCCTTTTTTCTGATCGTTTTCAGGAAGAGGAGCTCTTGGAGTAGCCTTGCTCTGCATGGCTTTTAAGAGAAAGATTAATGTAGCCTAATTATGCTTGTATCTTCTTTTTAAAGTGTTCATAATGTATAAAACTGGATGATTCTGAGCATCTGAGATTATTCCCAAAACGCGGACAGAGTGTACAGAATTAGCTTGCCACACCTAGGACACTTAAACTAGTGTATGCAATGAAACTAAAACAAAACGTTATGCCAATGGTCTACGGGTTTCCCGAAAGCGTCATACATTTGCCAGTTAGGTTAGTAGCTACTTCAATATAAAAACTACTTCTGCTCCTGAAGTTAAACGTAAAACCTTATAGATACACACTATACCAAGGCAAGCCGATCTTGGCAACTCAATGCTATCACTGTGAGCACTCACCTTTTCTACATCAGAACAGGTCTCCTTTCCTTCCCCTCCAAGTGTTTAAAATTGTATCTCAACAACGATCAACAAAAAGAGGCTTTCTTAAGCTCTGGCTTGAAAAACAAATTATACTGCAATACTGGGATATAGCTGTGATTTCACTTAAAACATTCCCTTACATACAATTAATGGGGCCTGCCACTGCCTATTAGCAAATGTTAATGTTGAAAAGCTAAAACAAATGAGTTTTACTACTAACACTGCAAATTCTCGTTTTGTGAACATGCAGAGGATTAGCTTTCTAAAGCACATTTACAGTGGAAGTCCACAGGCGTGCTTAAAATGCCCTATCCCAGCAGAACTGAACTGATACAGGTGTGATACAGGTTCCAACTCCACGGTTAATATTTTTAAACATTATACCCAATAAAACATTTATAAGGTTCTCCTTTTCCTGGAGTTTTGATAACACACCAAACTATAACTATAACCAGGTTGATTCCTTCAAAAGGATTTAAATACAGCTTTAATACCCAGGGGTGTAGATCTATTCTACTTTGGTATCAAAAATGGAGAATTCAGTCTGTGGACTGAAAATATACACTGCTTATTCTCTTAAGTGTCTTTTACTCTTACTGTTTTGGTGTTTCATAAGCTGGTTTTTCCATTCCTCAGATAGAAGAGCAAATCTGGGGACTTTCTGTGAACTTGTTGCTGCAGTAACCGCAACCCAAATGCCTCTTTTACAAAGAAATGAGTGTTCTAACTAGGACATGTCCTGCAATGTTGTATTGTTATGTGACAGCACATCGTAGGGCGCAAGGCTGTAAAAGCCAACAAAATATAAGGCTGTATTGAGTATCAGTGTCTTGCAATGCTGGCCTTAGGTGTAAAAGCTTTTTTAAAAAAACTTCAGAACAACCCCAGGGCATTAAAATGTGTTTTCTAGAATAAGACCACCTTCCTCTATCGAGCAACAGACTGCTGCTATCTTGAGTAGTTGAGGAACAAGAGTGGAAGAATAAGCCAGATGATATTTTAAAGCATATTTTCTCCCACCAGCATGGCCTGATTATCTATGCAAAGTAGAAGTACTTTGTAATGCTGATGTGCAGTTCCATTTACATAAGGAATTTTCACCAGCAGGAATAATTCTCTATTTCAAAGCTCTTGTAAGCAGAACTTCCCAATATTCAAATGCTTTGTTTTAGACAGAAATCATCTGCCTGTGCTGTATAAGCATCTGAAAGAGCTGATACATTGCTCCTGCTTTGGACAGCAAGCAGCCAAGGTTCTTAAATTGGAAAATATTAGTCTTTCATTTACACATTTCAAAAAAAAAATCAAGAGGGCATTTTCTACAGCATTAATATTCAGACTAAAGCCCCTCTGCTCTCCATCATATATTCTTTGGTGTTGCCAGAACTGCTCACACAAGCATACTCCAAAAGTACGACCGTCACTGAAAAAATAAGCCTGAAGGCACAAGATAAAGAGGGGTTGCTGAAGGGCCCCGTACTTGACTTTCCCGTAACTCTCCGACATGGAGTATCCCAGGCGCGCACAGACTGAACAAGAGAGCAAATGGATCAGATAGTTTAGAGAGATCCCACTGGTACGTCTGACAAATGGAAAGACTGCAAGAGATACGGTTGAGAGGGGGAGTGGAGGGTAGCTCACATTTAAGGAAACAGGGCAGACGATTTTGCTGCCAAAGGAATGTTTTTGAAATCCGAGGGCCACAGAAAGCAATAAAGATTAAGCCATACCATTTCACAGTGTGTTAACTGTGGGCAAGCTTGCCAGAGAAAGTCTTCCAAAAGTCCATTCTTTTGACACTGTCCTGGTTTAACACTGCTGAATAAAGACATGAAGTATTTCCCTCGCTCACACACATACACCTGCACTATTTTTTCCAAGTTGTGATTTAAAAAAAAATATATTAATGGCTTTGGATTGAAAGTGCCAAAACTACTTCTTGCCACTTTAAATATTGGCAGCCCTTTAAGCTGTTAACAAGGCAAGAATACGAGGTTGTGCTTGCTGGCATTCATTTTCCCCAAGGGCTTTCAAAATGAACTCCCAAGTTAACTCCCTTTTCAAGAAAATGACAGTGAAGTTAAAAGTCTGATGTGACGGCAAAGCAAGCATTCTGGAACCACTGCAACCCCAAGACAAACATCATCCATATCTATATCCATATCCAGCAGTAGATAGATGGAGTAAGCACTTCTGCCAACATGAGAGAGAGAGAGAGAGAGAGAGAGAGAGAGAGAGAGAGAGAGAGAAAAAGAGAGAGAGATGATGCTTATTTTATAAATATTTACAGGACAGGGTAGATGTTTTTGTTTCTCACTACTGTGCATTTAAATATCATTCTCTATACATACCGAAAAATACACCAAACTGGTTAATTATTGCTAGAATCATATAGTTTTGATTTGAAATCATCTCATTGGATGAAATTTGTTAGCAGCATCAAAAGTTGACAGAGCTAAATATCATCACGCACAGTGTTAACAAAGTCACTATTTGCATTTACATGAAGGTTTCCCATGAAAAGTCTCCAAGTACTTTCCAAAGATAAGTATCACGGTGCACTAAGGCACACATTAGATCACACCAACCCATAGCAGATCTGGGGATGGAACAGAGAGTTCTGGTCTGATATCATGACTAGTCTACACATATTTTCCACGTATACATTTCTTCAAAGATATTGCAGGAAGTTAAAGACATGCAGCACTCAGGCCAAACACACAAACTGCAACAGATGGACAGGCAAATCTATCGGTTCCTATGCGTGTCTGATGCAATCACTCTCAAGGAAGGTCAGTTTAACCATCCTGATATCTCAATAATAAAGTGTGCAAAGCAACCCACGCTAGTGCAGTCAAAGATCAGATTGTACTGCCTTGCTATCTGTTATCTTCCCAGAGTAATTAATTCCAGTTGAATTTAGAGTTAACCCCATTTCCTGAAACCTAGCAACTTGTCCTGAAAAACTACTTCAATCAATAGCATGGCCCTTGCTTTTTTATTCAAATGATGTTTTTGGAGATAAACACAACGAAAGCTTTGGGAACAAAAAGAAAAAAACCCAATATTCTTGATTTTAAGTGCCCTGTTTTTCATACAGGCCCCAAAAGCAAGGGCAGAGGCAACTTAATAATCTGTATTGTGGAAGTCAAAAAGCAGATGAGAGAAACTAAAAATGCAGAGTCTAATCCAGATTATTCCAGTCCAATATAACTCAATAATGCTCCCTTGCTGGCTGCCAGGACCTACTCACATTCTTATTTACCATATTTACTCAATTCTAAGATGAGGTTTTTTCCTCCATTAACATGGGGGTGGGGGAGCCCCTTTTCTCAGAATCTCATGAGGGCAGTGGCTTCGGGTCCAGCCCCTACCCGGGATCTGGCTGTAACCACAGCCTCCACATCACCTTTGTACTCCATCATCTCCCCCCTGCAGCCCCTTTCCCTACCATCTCTCTCCCAAACAGCCTCTGCTCCCCTGCCTGCCCCTCTCCTTTCCCCTTTACCATTGCTCTGCACCAGTAAGCTCCGTGCATGCTGCAGTCGGGGGCACAGAGCATGGCTCCAGCCCAGCTCCGCAGCAGGGGTGTATCTGCACGGCTACTCTGGGGGCTGGGCTGGGGCAGTGCTCAGAGCCCTAGGCTAGAATGGGGACACAGCCTGCCAAGTGGACCAAGGGTAAGAG